CAGCTACATTCTCGCCTGAAAATATGTTAAACGTTTATTTTGTGACCCAGAAAGAATAATAAGAGTAATATTAAAACTAACTAGCTGCCGCCATTGTTGGAAACTGAGCTGGGCTGCGCTATGAATTCTGGGATAGGTTGGGGCACGAAGTATACACCCGACCCATCCTTCAAATCTGGGGAAATGAAGGGCGCATTTTTCGGAGTCTTCGAATTTGGACCGTCTTCGTCGTGCCGCTGTAACGTAATCGGCCTACACATGCGGCCACAGGAGGATGCGGTTCCTGAATTCGGACACAGCTGCTTCTACTTGTTTAACGGCAGCTGGCATCCCTGTTTCAGTCCGTTATTACACCCTTAAATCCTACTACGTATTAATGAGTCTTTTGGGATCTTACAAAGCTTCAAACGACGCGTCGACTATTAAATTAGTTGTTGACGATTTTGATAGTCGACTAATCGCGGCAGCCCTGCGTAACTCCTGTAAATCAAAAAGCGACTGCTTTTCAGTGACATTATGGTAACGCCTGAGAAGATGAAGGTTGGTTGAGAGAGTGACGGCGCTCTACAGAAGCACAGCGCTGGTTTTTTCCCTTCGACTGCACAAACAAACCACCAAACGTAAACCTCATCTGCTGCCGGCTGAAAGCCTCGAGGTCATACCTCCTCTCCTGCTGCCGTTTCCGATGGTGGAGGTTTGCTGTGAAGCAGCCCCGCCTCCTTTGACTCATCTACGTCGCCCTCTCCTGATTGGCTCTCAGAGGACAGGAAGCTGTTAGAGGACAGAGCGGGGACGTTGGAGACCGCTGGCCTCCACTCTGTGATGTTAACAGCTGGAAGCAGCAATTGTAAAACAGCTGGACCAAACCAGCGCAGACCTGAGGAGGGAGGAGTCCAGTTACAGCACTTCCTGAAAGTCAGCTGTGATCATGTGACTGCTGTGTTTCCTGTCTGGAGAATCGTCCACGTTTGCTGTTAAACGGTGATTTAAGATCATTGAAGTCAATGAACTCACCGAACAGGAGAAACAGCAGAGAAAGAACCACCAGGAGGACAGGAAACCTGCGGAGACGTCAGCCATGGTTTAATCACCTTCCTTCCAGTGTTTAAGCTTAAATGTATTTGAGCGGTCGAACAGGTCTGATGAAGCAGATTTACTCCAGAATGAGAAAACCTAATGAATCAGCTCAAACTTGCCAGCTCAGCGGTGTGTTTGTGGTCATGTGACGCCACCGTGTGTCGAGCCACCTGAAGGCGTCGCCTGCTGTCCGACCTGCAGACACAGAACGATAAAGCCAATCAGAACACAGATTCAGATGGATGGGA